ACCCTCATCCGCTTAGCCGAACTCGTCCTCACACTCAACAACTTCTCTTTCAATTCCTCCCACTTCCTACAGACAAAGGGGGTAGCCATGGGTACCCGCATGGGCCCAAGCTACGCCTGCCTCTTTGTAGGTTACGTGGAACAATCCCTCTTCCGTACCTACACCGGCCCTAAACCCCACCTCTTCCTCCGTTACATTGATGACTGTATCGGCGCCGCCTCGTGCTCCCACGAGGAGCTCGAACAGTTCATACACTTCACTAACACCTTCCACCCCAACCTTAAGTTTACCTGGACCATCTCTAACACCTCTCTCCCCTTCCTGGACCTCTCTGTCTCCATATCGGGCAACCACCTCGAAACCGATATTCATTTCAAGCCCACCGACTCCCACAGCTACCTAGAATACTCCTCCTCCCACCCACCTTCCTGCAAAAATGCTATCCCCTATTCCCAATTCCTTCGCCTCCGCCGCATCTGCTCCCAGGATGAGGCATTCCACTCCCGTACATCTCAGTTGTCCTCGTTTTTCAAGGACCGTAACTTCCCCTCCTCGGTGGTCGAGAACGCCCTCAACCGTGTCTCCCACATCTCCCGCACCTCATCCCTCACACCCCGTCCACGCAATAAGAACCAAAAAAGAATCCCCCTCGTCCTCACGTACCACCCCACCAACCTCCGGATCCAACGCATCATCCTCCGACACTTCCGCCATCTGCAACCCGACCCCACCACCAAAGACATCTTTCCCTCCCCACCCTTATCTGCTTTCTGGAGGGACAACTCTCTCCGTGACTCCCTTGTCCGCTCCACACTCCCCTCCAGCTCCACCACACCCGGCACTTTTCCCTGCAACCGCAGGAAGTGCTACACCTGCCCCCATACCTCCTCCCTCACCCCCATCCCAGGCCCCAAGAAGACTTTCCACATCAAGCAGATGTTCACCTGCACATCTGCCAATGTGGTATACTGCATCCGAGGTACCCGGTGTGGCTTCCTCTACATCGGGGAAACCAAGCGGAGACTCGGGGACCGCTTTGCAGAACACCTACGCTCGGGTCGCAATAAACAACTGCACCTCCCAGTCGCGAACCATTTCAACTCTCCCTCCCATTCCTCAGACGACATGTCCATCCTGGGCCTCCTGCAGTGCCACAACGATGCCACCCGAAGGTTGCAGGAACAGCAACTCATATTCCGCTTGGGAACCCTGCAGCCCAATGGTATCAATGTGGATTTCACAAGTTTCAAAATCTCCCCTCCCCCTGCCGCATCCCAAAACCAGTCCAGCTCGTCCCTGCCTCCCTAACCTGTTCTTCCTCCCACCTATCCCCTCCTCCCACCTCAAGCCGCACCTCCATCTCCTACCGACCAACCTCATCCCGCCCCCTTGACCTGTCCGTCCTCCCTGGACTGACCTATCCCCTTCCTAACTCCCTACCTACACTCACCTTTACTGGCTCCATCCCCGCCTCTTCGACCTGTTTGTTTCCTCTCCACCTATCCTCTCCTCTATCCGCCTCCCACTCTCTCCCTATTTATTTCAAAAACCCCCTTCCCCTCCCCTTTTTCTGATGAAAGGTCTGGGCCCAAAACGTCAGCCTTTCTGCTCCTATGATGCTGCTTGGCCTGCTGTGTTCATCCAGCCCTGCACCTTGTTGTCTCGGATTCTCCAGCATCTGCAGTTCCTACTATCTCTGACACAAGTTGAGGAAACTGAGCAAATCCATCAAAAGGTAGCACAGTAACTTTTTATTAAATGTTGACTGGACAACAAAGGGGGAAAAAAAAACATTGTCCAACACGGAATTACACAAGAACATTATAAAAGTTAATGAAATGTTAATGGTTTAAAATCCTCTACTGTTTTAAATATTTATGTGGGAATTCCCAATTCTGATGGTTCTGTAAATTTCTCTGAACTGGAGTCTTGAGTTTTGATTTCAGGACCTTTCCCAGCATTCTAGTTGCATCTATGTGAAAACTTGGTGTGCAGTTGTTTGAATGAAAATAATGTGCAAGGCTATATGGAGAAAGCAGGAGTTTGACACTAGGTAATGATGCCCGTTTAGCAAGTTAATGTGGACAAGATAGGATGAATGGCCTCCTCTGCAATGTAGCACTGCAGCCATCCTGTATACTTGCCAATGCTGAAAGCAGCTCAGCATTTAGGGGAGGAAACATGAGGAAATACATTTCTATGTAGCGAATAGTTTGCAAAGTGGTGTCATTAGGGATCTCAAGTAGGGTTGCAAGTTCTGACTGAATTACAACCGCCATCTGTACCCTGCTAGGACAGCTCTGCTCTCATCCCTGGAGAGAGATGGCTTGTGACCATTTCCAATCTCAAGACAGGGTCACTGTGGGAAACATTTTGGGAAGCACCGAGCCAGGATTGGGAGTGCACTGCCTTGGAGTGTGCAGGCAAGTTACAATGCCATGGCTTACCAAAAGGTTATTGTTTAATTAAAGGGAAAAAAAATTGCAGGGCTACAGATTAAAAACATAAGGAAAATGGGATCTAAATTGCTCTTGCAGTGAACTTGCACATATTCAGTAAGCCAAATGGTCTTGTCCTGTGCTCTAAGCATTCTACAAATTCTAAACATGTATGGATGCAGTTCCTCTAACTATTGAGTCCAATATCAATCTTCACTTCCGACCCTTGAGCAAGGGAAAGTGGTTGCAAACATCAGTACTTATGATCAATACTTTGCGATAAGCACTTGCATAGTTAGATTCAAATTATGATCTGTCATCCTATGCAAGTATGTACGTGACACCTACTGTTTTATTTCACAAAATTGCTGGAGCCAACAAAAAATGAACTATTTACCATTAAATCTTGATTTAAGAATTAGAATCATAAATACATAATCCATTCTACCAGAAATTGTTTGGAATCCAGAGACGGAGGAATGAGAATTTCTTTTTGCATCCATTTCTGAATAACTGCAGTTGCTGAGTAAAGTATTATCCTTCATGTTAAGCACCAATTAAGATACTTTCACCATTATTTAACTAATCTGTAATCATTTACACTTATTACATCTCTTAATGCTAGCCCAGAATTACTGATTATCCTGTTTCATAATTCTTGAACTCTGGTCTTCTTTGGAAGAATTTGCAAATGGTTTCTATGTACGCACCATTTGATATGAAACCAACCTCATGTTTAAAAGGTTACTGTCTCAGACAAAGGACTGATTTTTAAATGTGTCCAGAGCTACAGGGCTGATTATGCTGTGGAAGCCAGTTTGTCAGAATGCAGCTCAGTTGACAATCAGGCCAATCTGCCTCATCCCAGCTTCTAACATTACAACAATAAGTGTAGGGGAAAAAAAAAGAGAACATTTTAACTAAGAGCTAAAAATACAATTCATTCCATCAATTCACTCCATATGACATTAGAATCATAAGAACATCACAAAGGCTTCAATCATACTCTTTTTATGAGCAGAAATCACTCAAGCAGGCTGTACAGAGGAGGGGAATGCAGTGGTATAAATACTTTGTGTTAGTTATTCATTCACAATCCTGGAATACCAGGCACATGCATGCCCTTCTGGAGTAAGGCTTTAAATATAGCCTCAGCTATTATACTCAAGTAACAATGTATCTCAGAGGCACCGAGTCAAAATATCTCATGGGTTGCTGTAGCATGGTGTGGGAGAGTTTAAAACTGAACTAATTTAAACTTTGACTGACAACATCTACCTGTTCAGGCATATCATGATTCATGTTTGGAGCAAGTAAGACTTGCATCCAGACCTCCTAGGTTAGAGGTAGGGACACTATCACTGTGCCACAAGAGCCCCAACTAGTTTAAATTTATTGTCGATTCAATGTATTGGAAGTCAGGACTAACCAGTGTTCATACCAGGTGAGTACCCCATATTTTCACGGTTTGTAGTAGGGGACGTCTTTTGTCTTATTTCTTGGACAGCCCAGGAGAGACTGAGCCTGGAAGCTTTCTCTGGTCTTTTTTTCAGCATGCGTGCTAGGGCATTAGCACTCAAGATCTCACTTCCAGCATTACTAAAACCCTCATCCACCCACCACCTCCACCCCCCCAACACACTCTCTCTCTAACCTCCCTCCCCCCTACCCCCCAACAAGCTGCTGTCTGGGCAGGCTGCATCCTCAATGTGGCCCCACACTCTCCACCCCTCCCCCCACCCACCCCCAAAAAGTCCTCGTTCATTAGGCAGACAGCCAATTTTCTCCTTTGCGTTTCAAGCACAAGACACAGGGTGCTGCTCCTGCATTTGCACCCATTCTCCTTCCCTTTCGCTGCTGCCAGTCTATCAGGTTGTTCGTGCAGACTCCCTCATCCTCCTGGTGGAACCACGATCCTGGTCTCCCTTCCCCAGCACCGGCGTTCGGGAAACTCGGCACGTCGAGCCTGCTCAGGGATATCCAGCTCCTGAGACGGCACTGCGACCAAAACCACTCCCAAGAAGGTCCAGTTCAGTTTCCAACTGATCACTGCTGACCAAAACTCAGCAGCATTTCAACTTGCCTGAGATCCCCTGCGTTTGAAAAACCTACCCACCCCCTCAAAATCAGAATGTAATTTTGACAATACTGTACCATAACTCACATCTTCAAACTCCCCATGCATAAGATGTTTTACTTCTACAAGTTTACACAATTAAATCTTACGATATATAGAATTTCCAAAATATGTTACAATACATCCATTAGATTCCATCATCACTTCTAAAACAGCCCATTTCAAAATGTTACAAGTAAAAATTTATTACAAATTGCAATGAATAGATGCATAGAACCTTCCAGTTATTAACAGTTTATTTACAGTATATTATATTCTCTACTTTAGCAACCCCTCTGTCAACCACAAGTGTGGAAACATTAATCTGCAAACATATAGGGCTTCACACAACGGACTCCCAACTACAAGTGGCTTGGGAGTCAAATGAAAAGAAGCAAAGCTAAATTGAAATTACTCTGCTGTCCTTTCTCAGTAGCCAATGACAGTTGGGTCTGTCAATTTTGTTTGGATCAGTTGGAACTCCAACAATAGTACAGTCCCCACCAATTAGAGCAGGAACGCTGATGTTACATGTAGGTTTCAGCATTGAAACAGCATAATCAAACTTGGTCAAACTCAACCAAGATAGTTTCTTTTTAAAAAAAAACAAAAAATAAGAAATACTGACTCGATTCAAACGCCCAAAAACTCCATTGTGCAACAGCTTCGCAAAACGTTTCACAGTTGCATCCAAATTCTTAGAAGTTTTTCTTGGGATGTGGGCCTCACTTGCTCATCCAGCATCCACTGCTTGGCCCATGTGGAAGTGAAGGAGAACCACCCTCTTGAATCGCTGTGTAGTGTAATTACACCCAGTGTGTTGCTAGGGAAGCAAGCTCCAGGATTCTGACTCAGCGAGAGTGAACGAACGACGAGACATTTCCAACTCGGGACGATGCATTGCCTGGAAGGGAACTTGCAGCTGGTGGTGTTCCCATGTATCTTCTGCCCTAGTCTTCCTAAATGCTAGCGGTCATGGGTTTGGAAGGTGCTGTTTAAGAAATCTTATTGAGTTCCTGCAGTGCATCTTGTAGATGGTACACACTGCTGCGACTGAGCGTCGGTGGTGGAGGGATTGGATGCATATGGTGCCAATCAAGCGGGGGCTGCTTTGTCCTGGATGGTGTCAAGCTTCTTGACTGTTATTGGAGCTGCACACATCCAGACAAGTGGGGAGTATTCCATCACACTCCTGACTTGTGCCTTGTAGCTGGTAGACAGGCTTTGGGGAAAAAAAAAATCAGGAGATGAGTAGCTACAGAAGTCCTAGCCTCTACCTGCTCACATAACACTGTATTTCCATGGCCAGTCCACCTGAGATTCTATTCAGTAGCAAGCCTGGATGTTGAAGGTGGGGGACTTCAGAAAAGGTAATACCACTAGAGATCAAAGGGAGATGGTTAGATTCAGTCTGGTTGGAGATGATCAGATGCCACAATGTTAATGCCATTTCTGACTGCAAGATGACATCTAGGTGTTGCTACACCAACATAGAATCCTCCTGTATCTTAGGGGATGGGAATGGTACAAGGTGCAAATTGTTATCAATGGCAAGAGTCCTATTACCAAAGTCATCATATTTAACAAAAAGGTCCAAAAAGCTGGCTGAAGGCTCTCAAAAGCATTAGATCCTTTGAAAAAATTGGCAAAAAAAGAAAAAAGTAGGTGGGGGGAATCCTTGAGAAACTAATTTATTGAGCTACCTGAAATCATGGGTGCATTTCATAGGTTTTACTTGGTTGCCATCCGGTTAAATCCAAAAATTACAACAAACTGCTGTTGCTCCTGGCTTAATAAAGTGTCAATTATACAGGGGGTGGGGGCTGTATTCAAATTTCCCTTTTGTTGATCTAGGGATAGAGCAACATTTTAAATACTATCCTTTTTCAAAAAAAAAAGAAAAAAAAAGCACCCTTCTTCAGGAATTGCATCCTTCACATTTTCTCGAATGTGTGGTTTGTAATAAAATATGATCAAAAAGTATATTTAAAATAATAATAATAGCAGGGTATTTGTTCAAGGACCTTAGAAGGAATGGACTTTTAACGGTATGGTTTTTCAAGTTAGCTTTTTAACCCTAATATTTCTCCCTTTGGAGCTTCTTCTTTATGTATATTACTAATGCAGCCAGAGGAATGCAAGCTGTGGAAACTGACACCAGGAGTCCAATAACAGCCAGAGCGTAAGGAGGATATTCCAGCTTCACCGAGTGCCCCTGTAAGATATAATGTTATAGCGAGTGCCTGGAAATAATATACACACAGTCCACTTTACACAGAGTACAGTACAATCATGTATCATAGATCATTTACAATCTTACAGCCATTAGTTAATCCATAAGAGAGTTAACAGAAGACCATTTGGTCAAAAAGCTACAGGGTCATTTCACAACTGCATCCTCCAACAGGGAGTGACGCTTACAGAGACTGTAGGAAATCAACAGCAATGCCCAGATTCCAGCTCCAGTCTAAAATGCCCAGGGCTTGGCATGTTATACAATACATACATGTGTGAGAGACAGACAAAGAGCCCATTAGAGATCTGTCTGGGCAGTGTAAGTGCCACTTTGGGACTGGTCCACTCAGTCACCATTCTTGTCGAGGCATGCTGTCTGTTGATGCCCATTATCATGGTCACCATGCACGAGAGCAGAGAATACTCTGACAGTGAGAGACCAACCGCTGACGTGACTTTCTTCGCTTAAAGGTGGTGTCTACAAAAGGATCGGAATCTCAAAACGTACGAATGCACCAGGACAACTTCCGGCCAATCCTGCAGATGAGGTGCAGGATCTTTTGCACTGTGTTGTTTGCAATCTGTAGATATAGGGAGTGGCACCCCTTGTTTGGTTACTTGGAATTGTTTATCCCCCACAGGATATGGGTGTGGCTGGTTGGACCAGCATTCATTGCCCATCCCTAATTGCCCCTTGAGAAGGTGGTAGCGAGCCACCTTCTGAAACCGCTGCCGTCCACCTGATTTAACAACCCCCCGCAGTGCTGTTCAAGGAGCAAATTCCAGGATTTTGACTCCGTGACAGTGAAGGATGTGGCTGTGGAGAGAAATCGAGGTAGGAGTAAGTTGGGTGCAGTCCTTTGTCGATTCTGGCTAAAAAGCAACACACAGTCATCTACTGCACCCTGCAAGTCCCATGTAAAATTGGGACGGCCCCATCCCACTGGAGCCTTGCTGCTTTCTGATGTTAGAGCTGATGAATCTGCCAAATGTGCAGAAGGATGTCCCAGTCACCAGTCAAATCACTTCACACTCGGAGATCCCATGGGTGCTGGGCAGGAGCTGGGTTCCAGGAATGTGCTGGGTGCCATAAAAACAGTGGAGTCTGGTCCTCACGGTTAGTCAGAGAGGGGCCAGCAGGGCAGAAGCCTCAATCCTCCAGGATTCTCACAAAACAAGCGCTCTGTTCCTCTCCTGCCACTTTTACAGAGCACACCCTCCTCACACACACACACACATCTACTTGGTGATGTCCTCGTCCAAATATTCTTTGGGAAGGGTAAATAATCGGATTCCTTAAGATGTTCTCCAACACACTCAAGCTGCACATTGGGTTTGAAGCACAGGTGCAGGCCATTCAGCCCACTTGGTCTTCTTGCTGGCACTTCAGTGCTGACACCAAATGGGACGATCATCTGAATTCTCACTCCAGGTGCGGAGCCTTTAACGTCCTGGAGTTCACCTTCAGGAATGACAAGTGCGCTTGGCAGGACTGCTTGTGCCAGCTTCTCAAACGGACCCCTCTCGCTCTCCCACCAACCCCCGGTTGCTTCAGCAGCAACCAAACAGAGCCCCTGGACAGCTGAGTGCTCGGGATGTTCATTGCAATCTCAAAAAAAAAAAAAGGTGCAGATTGTTCATCTTGTCTGAAAAGAGGAGTTTGTTCAGGTCGTCCACACGAGACCGCCCCCCCCACCCCACCTCAAGTTAGAGCATCATCTCAGTCTACAGGACGTTCCCATTTCCTGGTGCGGGATAGTAGAGAGATGTGGCACGTTCCCAGGTCTCGGTGTCTGTTTGCTGTCCAGCTTAGCTGCAGCGGTGTCTACCAGTTGGGGACCCTCCTGGATTTTTCACTCCACCTCTTGGAGAACTTGGAGATCGCCATCCAGTGCGGTGTGCAGCAGGGAAATGGGGAAGAATCCACGTGCTACCTCTGTGCAGCCTGACCCTTGCTGTGCCTGCAAGCTTCAGTTGCCTGAATGCAGTCGACAGTCAAGTGATATCAAAGGCTTGGACCTGAGCACAGCTAAACGAAATCAGATAATGCACATACCTCAGCTGCATTCCAGGCAGTGTACGTTAGTGTTCCTGTTATGCTGTAGTCAACAATGTAAAAAATCACGAGACCTATGATTAAAACAGGGCTTATGAAAACCCAGGTGACCACCCAGTACCAGTTTGGTTTGCGTCCCATCATCTTTTCAATGTCTTTCCGGAATCTGCAAGAAATACTTTGGCAATTAGTCACTGGCCGATGAACACAGTTAATATCACTAATGTAACCAAGCTGGAATTAATTCTTCCAAAACAAAAAAAAAAAGAAAATTTGAATTTTTATAACAACTCTCGCATCCCAAGGACATCCCAAAATGCTTTGGAGCCAATGATGTACTTTGGAAGTGTGGTGAGGCACTGGTCTCAGGAATGGATTGCTGCACAGCAAGATTCCACAAACAACAACACGATAGTGTCCAGAGATTCGGCATTAGTCATGGTGACTGGTGGGGCCAGAGGCAGATCGACAGTGGGCTGGATACTGGGAAGGGGAGGCACGTGAGACGTTTAAGTCACAAATCCTTAATCAAGTTGAGGTTCCGCTGGGAAAGGTTCAGTGTTTCTAGAATCAGCTATCACAATCTAAGGGGCTGCCTCACAGCGCCAAGGACCCGGGTTCAATTCCACCCCCGGGTGACTGTCTGTGTGGAGTTTGCACATTCTCCCTGTGTCTGTGTGGGTTTCCTCCGGGTGTTCCAGTTTCCTCCCACAGTCCAAGGATGTGCAGGTTAGGGTGGATTGGCCATGCTAAATTGCCCATAGTGCCCAGGGACATGCAGGCTAGGTGGGTTAGCCTTGGGAGACATAGTGGTACAGGGATAGGTGAGTCTGGGTGGGATGCTCTTCAGAGGGTCGTTGTGGACTAGATGGGCCAAAAGGCCTGCTTCCACACCCGTAGGAAAGCTTTGATTCTATAGAATAGGGTGGGCCATTTAGAACTGAGAGGAGAAGAAATACCTTCACCCAGAGAGTGGGGAGCCTATGGAATGTATTGGCACTGGAGGGGGTGCAAAGGAGGTTTACTAGGTTGATT